TACAAATTTAAATGAAGTGGAACAAGATTACCCCAAAAGTTATATCCGTAGCTCTGTTTACTACTGATTTCCCAAAACCAAAGCTTGCACCAGGATTAGGGTATTCCTGTTGAGTGTAGTCTCTCCAAAATTTATGACATCTAATATTGTCTGAACGGAATTCATAGCTTTTCACTTCATGACAGAAACTTCATGGACTGCTATCTGCTTTCACAAAACTAGTAAAAATTTACTAACCCTGAGACCTCAACCCTTCTGTCAATTTCAGAAGCGGGAGTGGACGCTCAACATTTTTTGCTTTGGGTTTTTATAAGGTTCATTAGGTGGGCACAGAGAGAGTTAAAGGAGCATGGTGTACAAAAACAAAACAGCACAATGTAACACCTGTTTTTGTATGCAGAAACACAAGAATATATTGAGGAAGTACTGAGAGCTAGAAATAAGGCAGCATTTGGATACCGTAACAGCAAACACATTTCTAAAGAGCTTTTAAGAGCAGCATTAAACCTGGATATTTGAATAAGAATGTCCATTTCATCCCTCCAGTTTCACATTCCATTTACATGAACGCTAGAAGTCGAGCCAAAGACTGCATAGCTGGTAATCACCAGTTTTCAGGCACAACTGAAGGGTCTGACCAATATTCTCAGCTATTCCTTTTATTATCACAAAGTATCAACAGAGATTAGCTACTAAACAAGCAACTGCCTACAAGCAGATATGACCTGACGCAAAACACCAAAAGTGGATCTGGGTCTAGAAATCTCTAAGAATGAACTGAGCCAGCATTAATCATGAACTTAAAAATCACATGTTCTTCATGTGAGATCTGACATGAAATAAAGGTGTCAGGACAGACCCAAGTTTTGACTGACTTAGAAAACCCAATAGTGATATCCCATGTGTTCACTAACAAAGATGGAGAAAAAAAGAGCCGTTACCAAACAATGAGATTAAGCTTATGCCAGTACTACAAGCCAAGACTTTTAAGGGAACAGCACCGTATGCTAGTAAACCAGAGACAAGTGAAGAAACAAAGGAAAATATTCAAAAGAGAAAAGGAAAAGTCAAGCACTAGCTTGAGCTATTTACTAGTTAAGCAAGTTTTCTAAAATTCTCAGCGAGCTGAATAAAACTAAGAGAAGGATTGCTCTGAAGCAACCACTTGTTTACTGCCTTGCTTGGAAGGGAGAGATCGAGGGGATGGGGTGGAAGAAGTGTTGAAGCTCAGCACAACAATTTCAGTACAATGTTCAAAAGCAGTGCATCAGAATTACTGACCATCATACAGCTTAAATCCACGTTCATCTGTTTCTACTTCAGACTCTGGCTGAAGGGGAAAAAAATGTAATTTTTTCAAAGTTGTTTTTATGACCATGCTGATATATATATATATACTCTGGTTACAAATGTAAGGGTTGTACACTTTTGTATACAATTAGTTAAATTTATCTTCAACATTAAACTAATGTAAACAACAGTTAAAATACCCTACACAAACTTTAATCTTGAACAACAAACACTCCATATCATATTACTTAAGTTCATTAGAGCTCTACTTGAGAAATAAGAGCTCCTTCGCCCTCTGTAACAAACATCCCCAACATCAACACATAAACTGTTTTTCTTTTTTGACTTGGGAGACAAAGAACTATTTATTGTTGTAGTGTAGGCTTAAGAAAGTATCATTAAACTCATTACACAATCATTAAACAAAGGATCTTGAAAAATGCATCCATTATACACCCATGTCTTATTTTAAAAGAGTGGCAAAGAAGACTGGAAATTTATTTTGGCTGAGTATGCTCAGTAGTTTGGTCACTTAAATTTCAATTACCCCAGCACTAATTTTATGATTCTTATGAAAGTTACTTTAAGTTACTTTAACATCACTTTAAGCAGCACCAATTTTAAAAGTTCATCAGTAGGAGAACTGAAAAAAGAATTGAAATCTGCTCAAATCTACTTTTACCTACCAGGTTTTTCCATAAAAACTGTTACCTTAAAGAAGTCATCTTGAGAGATGATACCACAGTTGGGAAGCATGTTCTTAAGTTTTTCTGCTAGTGTAGTTTTCCCTCCATTTGTTACACTGTTAGAAAACATTGTAATAAGTTCACCAGGGCAAAAAACTAATCTTTTAAACATATGTACAACCTTATACATACATTTCTATATAATTATACACAAAGAAACAATACAACTTCCCCCAAATTTTAATCACATTAAATATTCTTTACCTCTAGAAATTTTCTACCATGTTCCAACAGTTTTCAACAATCAATACAGTAAATCAAGCAGTGCCAAAAAAGAAACCTGCACCTGAGGTCTCCAACAAACACAGAACAATTTCTTAAGAGTTATATGCTATAAAATCATACAATTATATGTTGCATTTGTAATCCAGTTTCAAAAAAATGTGTATTCAAAAACAGAAATTGTATCACATCATTCTGAGAAGACTAGTCTTAATATGCAGAGGAAATTTAATTCTTTATAACTTACCCCCCAAGGCCAATAACCAATACTTTCATACTTTGTTTTCTCCTCAGTTCTTCCTTTTTACTGTCAAAAACAATAGCCAGTGAAAAATCTTATTTCAGGAACAAGAAGGCAACTATGATATTAAGAAAGACCAATTATACAGATTATTTATTTTCTCTCCTGTTGTCTATCATTTTTCTTTTTGCAAAGGTACAGTCAGAATCTCAGCTGCTCTAACGCTAACAAAAAACCTGCAGTATATATGCCCCATCAAAAATCCAAACGTACTTTACTTTTGACAGTATTTTAATAATTTGAAAGGAACTCTACGAGACTTAGCTCTAACGATATTAATATCATACAAGTTCCTAAAGAAAAGCACAATCACTAGCTCAAGCATTAGCAATATAAAAAAGACTAGGTAAACAGAAGCTGTTGTGGCAAAACAAACAAAATCATTAAGAAAGAAACAATTGGCATGCTGAGGAGAAAGATGTTTAAAAATTTCACGAAGATTAGTAACAAAGACTATGTTCAGAAACTCCTTTATGAACCTGGTTTCATCAATGTAATATTCACTGTGTAATTCACCACTGCCTTTCTGAGGATATTAACAGCACAGACCATACAAATCCTCCTCCTCTGCTCCACCAGATTAATCTGGAAGAATTAAAACTACTGTAAGGGCAGTTTAAGCCATCCTAGCTAACTTAGCATTGAGAAGGACTAAGTAGCAATTGATTTTCCCCTGAAAAGATCAAAGAGTAAACTCTAAAGGTTAATTTGACCACCATATCCCTGTTGCTACCACCATATCCCACCAGCTCTGAGGCTCTGACTGCCTGAACAGTTTCAGTAGTCAGAGCTGCCAGGAGACACAATTCTGCTTTGTCCCAGCTCTTTCCCCTGAACTTTCTTCTAGAATGGGTGCTTGCAGAGTACATAGTGAGCTATCCCGGAAAAACACTGCAGCTGAAAAACAGTTCTGTGAAGACAGAGCGGTAACAATGTTTGTTTTCAGTTTCGATTTATAACTATTTAACCACACTCAAACACCCTTTTTTCATCTGCTCTGTCCTCCTAGGTCACATTTAAACCTATGTCACCTAAGACCTGAAAGGACTGAGCAGGTAAAATTCTCCCTGCCTCAAACAAACAAGTATCTGTACCATACTAGTAAAAGGACTGGTACAGGGCATCAGTATGAAAAAATCCACACTGTTTCTGTGAAAGTAAACTTTAGATACATGGGAAACCTGCAATAACATCCTCTTGCATTTGGTGTAAGAACTAGAAGTTCCACTAGAAGTTTCACATGTCTGTGATATGATCTTCACATGCTTTTTAATATATGGTTATGTTTAAAAAAGCACAGCAAAAGACCTATTGACTAGTCCAAGCCATCACCCTTATTGCTTTGCAGAGGTGCAGCTTATCTACAGTAGTTGGCATTTGTGAGTTTTTTAAGTTAGTACACATTGGTTTTCTAAGGATATTATAATTTTCAGATTCAGTGATGCATTGAATGCTTATAGTACTGGCTATCAGTGCAAAGAGAGAAGACAGATAATATAGTCTTAAGAAGTGATGATATTCAGGCTACTTAAAAATAAGATAAAAAAGCTCTTTTCTAAAAAATCGCCAGTAGTTTCATGTTGCAGAGGATTACCCTTTGTCCCACAAAGGATGTTATGCAACAAGTCGGACAAACACGTTCACCTTTGGACTTTCATTTATGTCATTGTCTACATGCAAATTAATCCCAGTCTATGGCAAAAAATACCATCATAAAAAACCACACCAACTCTTTTGTCGCCCTAACTAATGTGTAAAATAAATCTCAAAAGAAAAATTGTCACAAAGGCTGCAACAAAGAAATCCTAAACTACTCTGCCTTGGGTCAGTTTGGCTCTTTAAATAAAGCACAAACCCATGACAACGCTCGCACATCACTGCTGTCACCCCATTTTTAAGGGCATACCGCGGCAAAGCTCCCATGCACGGGGACACCCGGACCCGGACCGGGACCGTCTCTCACGGGAACGGGCCCACACACAGCGGGGCTGGCGGAGGTTCCCGGCCTCGCTTCCACCAGTTGCAGCTCCAACACTTCAGCGCCTCCGGAGCTCGCACTTCACTTGGAGCACGCCGCGAGGGTGCTAGGAGCACATCCTTCCGCCAGCAAGGCTCCGGAGCGCCCGCCTCCTCCGTCCCCTGACGGCGCTGTCCGAGGCGCGCCCACCTCCGAGCAGGGCGGCGGCACCGCGCACACGACACTCCGGCCCACTTCTCAGGAGAAGCCCCCTCACAGCCCCCGGGGCCACCCCGCCTCCCTCGGGCCGCCCGGCCCCGGCCCGGCCCCGCCGCCTGGGCGGCTCCTCCAGGCGGGGAGAGCGCGGAGCGGGAAGCGGCGGGGCCTGGAGCCGCGGCGCGCGCGCTGATTGGCGGCGTGCTGCCCGGGGCCGGGGGGGAAGGGCCCCGCCGGGGACCCGCCCTTCGTCCCGGCTGCCGCCACCGAGCCGTGCCCGGGGCTGCGGGGTGCGCACCGCCGCCTCTCACTGCCGGCCCGCGCCCGGACAGCCGACCGCCGTCGCGCCGCTCCTGCCGTCCGAGCTTGGGTGGGGTCCAGCCATGTCCAAGCCGCCACCTAAACCGGCGAAGCCAGGTGAGGGAAGGGCAGAGGGGCCTGGCCCGTGTTCCCCGTGCGGGGCGTGACGCAGCCCGCTGACTGCTGACACGTGAATGGCTTGGGTTTCGGATCTGCGCTCTCAAGCACAGTCCGGGCGAGGGTGGGAGTGGGGCACAGCCGCCCTTCCGGACCGCACGCTTGCTGTCGCCGAAGAGGGCTGCCCCTCCCGCGGCTGGAAAGCACCGGGGGCTGTCCTCGGGCATCGTGTCTGGGCCGACTGTAGCTCGGGAGGAGGTTCGCGGGTGTCCCCAAGTCGGAGCCATCGGCCGGGGACAGGCTCCCCGTGTCCTCCGGCCCCGGCCTTCCTCGGCTGCAGCGCGGAGCCGCGGTGCCCGGCGGTGGCACTTGGCGTCGTGGGGTGCCCGGCCGGGAGCTGCTTGCGTAGCCTGAAATGCATAGGAAACCTTTTACCCTTTTGAGAAACAGCGCCGAGCTACTCTGAGGTTTGCCTCGTGGTTGCACGGATTTGGCAATACATTAAGGCATAGCACCAGTTTTACAGTATAGTGGCGTGCAACATTCTTCATCTTCGGAGATGGAATCCACTGTTTTCCCCTGTTGGTCTCCTAACAGCCACACTCTAAATGTGCTCTTTGAAATAAAGGTGTCAATGTGCACATCGCCCTTTCTAGTGCATTTAGTCATCGATGTGTGGGGTTTTGTTCCTTTGGGTTTTTTCCGGAAAAAATTACCGTAAAGCTAGTTTTCTAAAAAAAATTAATAGCAACCATAGCTTTTTCTAAAAATACATTGAAAAGCCATTGGAACTGGCACAGTTTTAAATCTCAGAATGGAGATGGCGTTTTTCAGGTAAATATACGTTCTTCTGTCAAAAATTTAACCTTTAGCTTTAGCGGTTTGGGTTTTTCAGTAAGGAATTGATTTAATTTAATTTAATGGCTGTTTATCATGTTTGTGTCTCATCTGTCAGTGTAAAAGCTTAAATTCTTATGTAGAAATTAAAAATCCTGTGATTTTAATTAAATAGGTAAGACGAGTTGATCCCTAAGTACATCCGAATGTCAACTTTTTTTTTGCACTTTGAATACTATTTGAAATGCCAAAGTAAAAAAAAAAAAAAAATGTTAATTTAATGCATAGCCAAACTGAGTATTTTAACTCCAGTGAGTTGAGTATGACAACTTGTTTTATAAGTTTTCAATTTGAAGTCAAGTAAGTGCAGAAACAGTTTAGACCATTTAAACCATCAGTCTCATCCTGCCTGCAGGAGCAAAATCTAACGCTCTCTGGCTATAATTTCATCCTTAGAAGAATTTGCTCTGCCCTGTAGTTTCTTAAGCTTCTTTGAAACCAGGTTACTTTAAATGAAGAAGACAGTAATAAAAGCATTGCTGTTGTGGACCCTTACAGAAAACAATCAGTACTGAGAAAATCTGCAGGCTTCTGAAAGGATGTGGTGTTTCACAGCTGAATATGTGTGAAAAACGGGATTTTCCAATTAAGTTGATAACTCATTTTTCTGTTTTTCCAGAGGATGAGTTAAATTTAACCTAAGATTCTTAAGGAGTTAAAGGCTCTAGCCCTGCCTAACTTACAGGAGCTCTCAGACTGACTCAGACATGTTCTGTCTAATACTAGGTGTCCCTCCCTAGTTTGGTGGGGTGCAGTTTGTGGTGTGCTTGATCTGATAAAATGCGGACTGTCGTGAAAAGGACAGGCTCCCTACCCCCACCATCACTTTCTGTTCCATTTACTTAGGTGACAACGTGGTGGTGCTCTAACTTTTTTATGTAAGGTTATTTTTTTTGTCTATGTATGGTTATTTTTATGTCTGATGAACTTGCTGAGCTGGTTTACCAGCATGAGTGCTTGACACAGCAAAAGGAAATTTATAGAAGGAAGACAAAGAAAATAAGATTGTCTTACTAATCACTTTCAGAGCTGATTAAGGGTAATAAGATTAATTTTTCCAAATCCCTAATGTTTGAGGAGAGAATATTTTATGGTGTCTGTTGTGTAAGATTTTTTCAAAGTAATCTTCTGAGAGGGATTGCCTTCTAGCGTACTTCAAAATCTCTCTGTATTTTGAAATTCAAAATATCTCTGTATATTCAAAATATCTCATGTGTATTGCATGTCTGACTTCTGTGTGTTAATACAGAATACAGATAATACACCTTTGATACTGTAATCGAATTTCTTAGGGTTATGGATAGATGCTATTTAAAGATGTAATTATAGGAACTGTATGTGGTTCTACAGCAGTGGAAGGCTGTCTCTTTTAGTGGCATTTTGACTCTATCTGCTCGAATGTCTTTGTGCCTTTGGTCAAGCTGTGTTGATTTTTCTTCACTGATCATTACTAGGCATCAAGTCTATAAACTCGGTCAGGACACAGAAAGCCTGATTGCATTGCTGATGGATTGCTACAGTTCAGGACAGGCAGAGGAGAAACTAACCAGGAGATGTTGGTTGCTGTTGTCCTTTCCTTAGTGTTTGGGAAATAAGAAGTGCAAATTGGACAGAGAAGGAAGGAAATATTTGATGGTGGGGAAGTAAAAATCTATAACAAAATAAATGTCCTTTTTAAAACAGTGAGTGTTCACTGCTCAACTTGGGTATTTTGGCTATTACAGTTGCACAGTGCTTTAAAAATGTGGGGAAAAGAGGAGATGTAAAAGGAGGAAAACCAACTAGCTGTGGCACTGTCATTTTCTTCAGTACATGAGAGCATGTTTTATGACAGATTGCTTTTCTGTAAATCCTGTTGCATGCACAGCACATAAGGATTTCAGTTACAGAGGGATGGTTTTGACATCAACATGTGTTAGACAATTGTGTTTGTGAACACTTCAGGTCATCTTTTGGGTCTGTAGTCAGTCCTTGTGTAAGGAGACAAGATTGTTTATAGAGGCTCTAAAAGTGTATCAACTTAAAGGGTTTTGAGGCTTTTTTTTTTAACAAGTGCTTTGCTTTTCTTGTGTGAGTCTGTTATTGTCTTCTAGCTGTAGTTTTTATTTAGACTCACTATTGAAAATAAAAGGGAATGGAGTGGATGTTGAAAACAGCAGAAATAGACTTTTCTGACAGCCCTGTGCAAGAGTAGGTTTTCCCCTCCATCTTTTTAGAAATCTGTTGATGTCTCAAACTACAGTACTCTTTGCAGGGTTCATATCATGTTGGATATTAATCCTGTTTACAAAAGTTACTTATTAAGTCCTTTAGATTTGACGAGCTTTAGTGGCTTCTGCTTAGTTGTCTGCTACTTAAGCAGTGTCTTCTTGAAGAGTGACTGTCTCGTGATGTCCTTTTCATTAGAGCCTTATATAGTGTGCAGCAAAAGCTTTTGGGGAGATGAAGGGGGTGTATCGATATTTTTTTAAAAAACCTTACTATCATGTTCACAGTAAGGTTTGTTGATCCTGGCCTAGAGTTGACACAACATTTATATTTTATGGAGAAAGACCAGCCTTTGTTCCAAGGAAATTAGAGTTTTAAATTACTCCAGTTGAGAGGGAGGGAGGAGAAATGTAAGGATTTAGCATAAAGGGTTGCTATCTCAAAGCAGTTTGACTTTTCTCCCACTAGTAGAGTTAAAAAGTTTAATGAGAGTTTAACTCCCATCAGAGTTAAAAAGTAGGATTCTGGACATAAATACTTAGTTTGAATCATAAGCAACTTCACCTCAACTCTAAGGTGAAGTAGGAGCTGTGACAGCATTCACAGGAGCAGAACACTCGCATTGAGTCACATGCCTAAGACGTTGGTAGTAGGTTTAAATTTGACATAAGTGGTGGTGGTTCGGGTTTCTTCTGTACTCAAGGAAAGGTTTCTGTTAGCTAGGAAGATGTGAGCATGTGAATGTGGGGAATTACACTGCAGCCATCAGGTCTGAGGGGAGAAAAACATCAGAGAAACAACAGTTCCCAGTCTGCTTTCAACATGAATCATAAACTTTCATTTCTGACCTCAAACCGTCTTACTGCTGCAAGTTGCTGGGACCTCCAGCAAACTTCCTGCAAGTGAAGGCATGCTGGTATTGATAAAAACAAAAATTGATAAGGAACAGAAGATTTCAGCATCAGGCTATGACAGTGACATTGTGTTCACATTCATCTTCTGTGAGAGTATTTTTACTTCTGATTTTCTGTAATGAAATTATGTTTGTTCCTTCCATTCCAGATACTGATTACTGTAGTAGTACATGATTTTTCCTGGATACCCCAGTTAGTCATCTAAGCTGGTACCAGTCTATTCTTTGCATTCCTTTTAATATGTTCCTGAACAAATTCTTGGGCTCACTTGCTTGTTTCTTTAATGCACTTCCCCCCCGCTCCCCCAGCATGTATTCTCTGTGTTCACTTCCCCTTTCTAATCAGCATTACTTGAAGATGGTTCTCTAAACCCTGGGGACTCCACCTTTTTCTCTCAGTTGTGGCAATCCTTAGAAGCTATGTTGAACTCTGCTGTGTCTGTGAGCAAATGGTACTCCTGTAAAAAGTATTTCCAGTACTTTTGTGCCTGTTTGGAGGCCTGTGTGCAAAGCACCTTGTTTTCCAATTCCAAATGCTACAGGCTTGGAGCAGAGAGGCTAGAAAGCTTCCCAGAGAAAAGGGACCTGGGAGTGCTGGTTGACAGCTGGCTGAACATGAGTCAGTCCAGGTAGCCAAGAAGGCCACTGGCATCCTGGCCTGCATGAAAAGTAGTGTGGACAGCAGACAGTATCTGTCCCCCTGTATAGGGTGCTGGTCAGGCTGCACCTCAAGTCTTGTGTCCAGACCTAGGCCCCTCACTGCACAAAAGACATTGAGCTGCTAGAGAGAGTCCAGAGAAGGGCAGTAGAGCTGGTTAAGGATCTGGAGGGTAGGTGGTACGAGGAGTGGCTGAGGGAGCTGGAGGAGTTTAGCCTCTAGGAAGGGAGGCTGGGGCAGACCTTATTGCTTTGTACAGCTGTCTGAACGGAGGTTGTAGCAAGGTGGGTGCTGGTTTCTTGTCCCAAGTGACGAGTGATAGGA